ACCTAAGAAAAAAAGCTTAAAGCACTTATCAGTGAAACTGGTTCGGAATATGTAGATTAGGTTGACGTTTTATTGGTATTTTGTTTGAAGTAAAAGTAGCAAACCGAGCAAACAGGACATTGATGTTATAACTGTTATTGATTAAACTTGAAAATTGGATCAGACATGTTCACAAGCTTTTCAGAAATTATTTTCAGTTTTAAATGTTTGAAGTAAAAGTAGCAAATAACCAACTTTGATGTTATAACTGATTAAACTTGAAAATTGGATGAGACTTGTTCCTAGACTCTTTAAAAATAATTTCCAATTAGAAATGTTTGAAGTAAAAGTAGCAAATAACCAACTTTGATGTTAGAACTAATTAAACTTGAAAATTGGATCAGACTTGTCCTATTCTATGAAGAGCTTGAGAATGAATGAAGAACTTTGAGAAACCATCTCCAATTATAAATGTCCTACTTTATATGAAGTATATTTCTAGAGAGACCTAAAAAAGTCTAACAGTAACAAAAGTTCACAAGGATTTCTGATTAAAAACGAGTAAGAGTCGATTGAATTTCAACAGCAGGTAGACACGGACTCGCGACCAATAAAAATTGCGGTCGTCGCATTTAAAACGCGAAGTAATGCATTATCGCTGTGGCATCCCAGTTTCAGCTCCACATATTAAACACCTGTCTGCTGAATATATAATATCGACGGCGTATTCACGTTATATCTGCATTGTATGGCCCGTTTCACACGCGGTTGCACAAAGGTCCGCTTCAGACGGATGACTTCTTCCGTTAGCTTAATCCAGGAGCCACCTGTGTCCTCGAACATCCTGGTCATCAACATTTTTTCAATTTTCTCATTTACCAAATGATAAACAATTAACACTCCTTAAAAAGTAATTCCTCAAAGTAAGTTTTCAACACTCCTTTCGATAGAAATTATGTATATATTTTGATTTTTCGTGGCTTTCACCACTCAAGTTTATCTGGTTTCGTAAACCCGCAGTTTTTGTCGGCGGGATTCTGTGTGAGAACCCCGCATGCCGAGGCGTCGCACATTGCGGGTCACTCACAATGTGGAGTGAAAAACTATACGGAGGCACGGTAACCATGGTGGAGCCACTTAATCGTACTTGTTCCAGGGATCCTCGCTTCTACGTAGGCTCGAAATTTGTTCGGAGGAACGACGACGTTCTGGCCGACTTAGATAACGTTAAAAGCTGTATAATTGCTGGAGGAGGGATGTGGAAATATAGAAATGTGGGTTTAGGGGAATTTAACGATTACATGGTTACAAGGACAATGGGATTTGGGGACAAATGAAATGTGGGGAAATTGGAATTTGGGGACGGGGAGGAATTTTGAGATATAGAGATCTGGGGATTTAGGAATTCGGGGATATGGAGATCTGGGGGTTTAGGTATCTGGAGATATAGGGATCTAGGAATGTAGGTATATGGAAATGTAGAGATCTAGGAATTTAGGTATATGGAAATGTAGAGATCTAGGAATTTAGAAATCTAGAAATTTAGAGACCTTAGAATTGAAGGATTTGGAAATCAAGAATAGGGATCTGAGAATTTCGGGACCTAGGAATTTAGGGATCTAGGAATTTAAGAATCTAGAAATCCAGAAATCTAGAAGTCTAGAAATTTAGAAATCCAAAAATTTGAGAAGCTAAGAATTTAGTAATGTAGAAATCTTATAACGTGGAACTTCGAAAATCCACTAACTAGAAAATCTAAAAATTTGAAGAGCTAAGAACGTAGAAACGTAGGAATCCAAGAATGTGGGAATTAAAAAGCTTAGTAACTTGAAAATCTAAGAATTTAAAAATGTGAAGACCATATGGATTTAGGAGCCCATGAATTTAGAAATGTATACATGGAAACAGTAGAAATCTTTTCTAATTTCCAGGCAGCGGTCACAAAAGTTTTATCGTTCCGATAAGATAAAGAATGGCAAAAGAGCCCTGATCTCCCCGAGTCGGTCGAGAAACAGCCGAGAACCGGTATAAAATAAAATGTATTCTGGTCATGTTTTTTCGAATACGTTAACTGACTGCACGAAGATGGCGATGATGCTGTTGCGGCTTTCGCGATACCACACAGCTTTACGTAAGAGGTATGAAAAGCGAAAAATCCGCTATCTCGTGCAATGATCTCGATATCTTCTTTGCTGACTGGCTGAATCGGTGCAAAATAATATCGTATCAATTGGTATAGTATTTTTGCGTATACGAATTCTTCGAAAGTGTCATTTCCGCATACTTCTGTGTATCATTTTGAATCTTTCACGGTTAATAAAGATAACATTTATAGAACGTGAAATGTATTCGGGCTCGTAAAGTTTGGGATTGAAATGAAGACTTCACAGGGGTTCCGCTCTCCCTTTCTTGGCAGATGTTGGACTGGACTCCCTAAACATCTTGTCGGGATCAAGGGCCTACGGAGAGCGTCGTGTTTCTGGCCGCGCAAAAAGGGATGCGAAACGCATGCAGTTGCAACTGGACTTGGAGACACGGATCGTGAGAAGTTCACCCTCTTTTCGAATCGCTTCCCACATATATTTTAGGTCCCTCTAAAGTCCTCAGATCCCTTACTCATGAGCTCCGAGTTCCTTTTATAGCTAATTTCAGTTTTGGAAAAAGGATGTAATCACATGGAGATAAGTCAGAAATTGAAGGATGTTGGAACAGACTTGTTTTTTCGCCAAAAATTCATGAACAGCGACAGTTCACATGGTGCGTTATCATGCAACAGAAACCAACTTCCCGGCGCTCGATATTCGGGCCTCACACGAACGATCCTCTTCCACAAATGTTCCATAACACCCAGATAATATTCGCCATTAACATTTTGTCCCTGTGGAACGAATTCCCGAAGTATAATTCCTTTAGAATCGTAAAAGCAAATTAACATTGTCTTCTCGAGGGACTTCTGGAATCGCAATTTTTTGATTTTGGAGAGCCTGGAGATTTCCACGTAGCACTTTGGCGCTTTGTTCGAGGTTCATACTTGAAGCACCAAGTCACATCACTAGTTACAATTGATTCCAGGAATGTACAGTTTCGTCTGGCTGTTTTGATAAGATCCTCGCAATATTCAACGCGAGCAATTTGTTGCGCTTGCTCGTGATTTTGTGACACGGTGACG